TTGCAGAGCTGGGCAAGTGCTGCGAAGCCAATCACGCCCAAGACGAGCAAGCGGGGAATGCCGGCTCTGGACGTCGCAGATGCACCACGGAAGTATGTGCTGGAGCGCCGTAAGCATCGGCCAGAATGTGTTTTTACCAGCACTGCCCGCCATGTCTTTCCGCTGCATGTACTCCACGACACGATGATTGGATGCTTTTGCCCAGGTTTGGACGAATTAGATTCGTTTATAGGGAGCTTTTAAGCCAATCAAAACACGCACCAGCCAAGCTCCGGTTCAAGCGCGCAGGTAGGATTGAGTAGCTAGCTTCCTCCATATACGAGCTCCCGCCAAGGCTACAGTTGTAGCAAGGGGTTGTAGCAAGTGAATGGACAGGCAAGATCTGAAAGACAATGAGCTCAGTAGCATGCGCGTGTCAACGTCGTCTGCGCCCATGCTGCCGCGATTAGCTTTAAACTTAATGGCCCAACATTGATCTGCAGGAGGGCTCACCAAGCAGCGACGCACCAAGCGAACCCAAGGTTAGTGTGCGGAGAACCAGTGCACATTGCCTGGCGTCAGGGGCGGTGAGATGGGCGCTGCATCGGCGGTCTTGCCACCACTTGCTCCCCGTGGCGAGAACGTTGCCGGGCTGGGACGCAGCATGCGTTGTCTGTATCGTGGGTGCATCAATATCACAGAGGTGCGTCATTTGACACTTGCCGCATGGGCTACTTGAGGCGACGCTGGGATCTCGGCAGCTACTCGCCGGAAGAAATGCAAAATATGCATTCCCACCACCAGGGTGACTTGTGGTTTGTGTACGCATACAAACCAAAAGAGTAACACGACCACGGGCCGCATCGCTCGCTCGCTCACTTTTCGATTCGACTCGCCAAGCGCATGAGCTGCCACACGTCTTCGCTTCTTCTCCTCGCTTTCTTCCTCGCGGCGGTCTGGACGAGCGTCGTCGGGGCGGCGACCTGCACCGCCTTTGAGGCCGACACTGACTACTTTGGCAACGACATTGCGTCCACGTCCCAGCCGACGGCCGCCAACTGCTGCAACGACTGCGCCGCGACGCCCGGCTGCATTCTGTACGTCTGGACTAACACGAACGGTGGCACGTGCTACCTCAAGAACGCCCAGGGCCCCGCGTCCAACAAGCCCGGCGCACAGGCCGCCGTGCTCACTCGCAGCACGTGCGCCAACGTCAAGTTCGACGTCGACTACCCGGGCAACGACATTGCTTCGACGCTGCGCGCCTCGTTCAGTGACTGCTGCGGCGACTGTGCGACGACACCGGGTTGTGTCTTGTACGTCT